GGAGCTGCTAGATTTGAACTGAGTACTTTTGTGTTGATAGTCCAATTCTTTTACCACTGAGCCAGCAGAGATAGTGAGTGACAAGTGCTAATTTCAAAGAAGGTTCCAACTGTGCATGCATTCACCGTTTAGAAGAGGCAGGCTTTCCCTCTGCTGGTCTTTCTTTTAACCCCATCTGTGAATGCGTGGCTTCCTACCTCTTCCAGATTACTAAAAGATGCACACACTCTTGTATATATGAAGCCCTAACTATTCCTATATGAGGATCCTCCTCCTTTTTTGTATGGATTAATACCTGTATGTAACGGTCTTTTAGGCAAACAAAATTCTGAGTTTAGAAAAAAAAAATATCATCTCACATAAGCGACTGTTAGTGGCACTTGCTTTTCAATTCTTTTGTGCCACGACTAGGGAGCTACCAGGTTGAAGCATCTTGTAAAATGTGAAGCTGTTGCCAGCATTGCTGCCTTCCACTGGCATTTTGGCGGGTGACACGTGCCAAACCCTCTCTATTGGGCATTTGACGCCCTTGGTGGTGGCATATGAAGCCTTCTGCCTGCCAGGCCACCCCGGGGCCACATTTGCTGTCCCATCCCGGTCCCTGCTGTGATCCTGCCATCTGGAGGTGCTGACTCTTCCCTACATATCCACTGCCCTCGGCATGTCCTTAGAGGTCGCAGCATTCTCACTCGGTACTGAAAACCTGGATACCACCTCATCTACAACAAAAAAAGCCCTGCAGGATAAATATAGTCTTTGGATCAGATTAACAAAATGAAAATTTAACAGTCTCCCAAGATTGCCCATATAGATGTGAACACATTATTCAGGACACAGAGACTTCAAAGGGAAAAATCATTTCTTTGAAATTTTAGAAGAACTGTAAAGTCTCTTTCAGTTTGTTTAATTGACTCCTGAAGTCATTAAAAGGACAAGTTCTAGAACCAGGCTACATGGACATGAAGCTATTACCACGGACTAGCAGGATGCACTAGCAATCCAAAGGTATATAGTTTGAATCTGTCAGCAGCTCCACGGGAGAAAGATGGTCAGTCTCCTCCCGTGATATTTACGGCCTCTGAAAACCAATGAAGCATCAGCTTTGAGTTAGAGTGACTCAACTGTACTTAACAGGTAAGCAGCGTGCAAAGCAGGACAGGTTAGTTTCTTTATGTGGTAGTTTATTTATCTGTGAAATGGAACAGTGATAGAGATTATCTCAAATGATTACTGTAGATATACTACATAGTTAGCCCAAAGAGCAGATAACGCAGATGAAGCCTAGCATAGGAACCCCAAAACACAAACCACCTTCCCTTGAGTTGATTATGATGTACTGTGACCCCATGAACAGATACATTCCACAGCAGCTGCATGGTTGCAATGTTTCCAAAGTAGACTGCCAGCCCTTTCTTCTGAGGCATTTCTGGTAGACCAAACCACCAATCAAGGGACTCAGTAGATAACAAGTGCTCCATAAATGCTAGCAGTTACCAGCACTGTTGTTGTTATGTGCCATCAAGTCACTTGCAACCCATAACGACCCTATGCACAGCAGCTCTGAAGCCTGCCCTGTCCTGAGCCAGTCTAATTCTGCCACACCAAGCCCCACTGCCCAAGTTACTGTATCAATCCATCTTATCTGGGGGCTTCCTCTCTTGTTCTGCCCCTCCATTTTTCCACGCATGATGTCCTTCTCCAAGGACTGTGCTCTCCTGGCCATTTCCCAAAGTGTGTGAGATGAAGCTTCAAAATCCTAGCCTCCAAGGAGAAATTTGGTTTCACCATCTCCAAGACAGACCTATTTGTTTTCTAGGTAGTCTATGGTATGTTTAAGACTCTTCTCCAGCACCACAACTCAAAGGTATCGATTCTTCTTCTGTCATACTTAGTCATCGTCCAGCTTTCTGATGCATAAAAAGGAACTGAAAAGACCATAGCCAGGATCAGGCCTTGGTCTCTACATGACATCGTTGCTCTTCAGTACTCTAGAGAAGTCCCTGACAGTCGAGTTTTCCAATGTAATTAATTTTTTTATTCCCTGACTGCTGGTGCCAAGAGTGCTAACTATGGAGCAAAGCAAGCTATAATTGTTAGCAACCTCAATTTATTTTCCCCTCTATCATGGTGCTGCCATTACAACTGAAGGTAATAGTTATCCATTTAATGAACCCAAAATATATTAAATGTTTAAAAAGAATATATTCACATGATTCAACAAACTATAAAAATAAAAATACTGTGTAAAGTCTCCCGCTCATTTCTGGCTCACATTCACCTGAGTGCTAATGCAGCAACCAGTGTCACTGTTTTCCCAAAGTTTAAATACATATGAAAATAAAACAGTAAAACTTCTATCCCTCTTTTTCTTTTAAAAGAAGCAACTGTATATAGCATGGCTGGGCGGGGAGAGAAGTGCAGCAATGAATGAATGGAAATCCAAAATCTCTGTAAATGCTCATTAAAATTATTTTTTAAAAAAAGCACAAGCAGAGAACTGACCAAGCAGAGAATAAGGCAACATAGTGAGCCAAACGATTTTGTACCTTTGAGACATAATCACCTGTAGGAGGCAGCAGTGAGGATAACGACCTACACGTGTCTTAGAAACACAATCGCCTGCAGGTCAGCACACAGGTGATAGGCTGTCATTTGGGTCCTCATCCTGCCATGTGGACTGTGCTACCCACTCAAAAAGCACTGGAGACTCAGTGTTGGTCCTGCCAATGGGTCTACTGTGACGTACAAAGAGAAATGCATGCAATAGTTTTGTAAATGGTGACGCATACACACACACACCATACACACAGAGTTAATAGCAGTTAGAAGGCTACTGCAACCCCTAAGGCTACTCCTTCTATGGTGCACACAACAGTATGTGGCACTGAGTCCCCATTTCTGACTCTTGTCTTGCCAGACAATTCTCCATCTAGAGTCATAGAGTGATTTTTCCATGAGGAAGAAAGCTCTGAGATGGGATGAGCTCTGTGCCTTAGATTTACCTTTCTGAGCTTTTCTAATGTAAACCAAGGATATTTAAGAGCAGATTTAAAATTTTATAAGCAGTCATTTTGTCTGGCACGAGGCTCAAAGTTTGAAGATAAATGAGTGGTAGCTGGGAGGGATTAGAGGACGGTCCACAGGTTTTCAGGCTGGTTCCCCTTCCTCGGACACACACACGCATGTCTAAACCTCTGCAGGCCTGGCTCCCGGGCATCAGATCCCCGACACAGGCTGAGGCTTGGCCGCCGCTTCCTTCAGTCTGAGCACTGGCTGAGTAGAAGCCCTGCACAGGTATTTAAAGGATTTAGATTCCATCACTGTTTTTTACTACTGCTGACCAGGACAAAATTCAAACTCATTGCTGTTGAACTGGAACCAACTCGTCCCTGATCCTTCAGTAGGGTTTTGGAGGCTATAAATGGGAGGAGATGGGAAGCTTTAAGGGGAGGAGAGGACTGTGTTTTTACCTACAATGCCACTGGTGGATTTGAACTATAAGAGAGGTGCCAACTTTGGGTTGGCAGTGCAACTCTCAACAGTCTGTGCTCTGACCAAAGACCTCTACATGCTGTGGCATTTTAGATGTTTCATCTGTAAATAATGTAGAGGGTTAGTGGAAGAAAGCAAGCCCCTCAACGAGATGGACTGACCACAGTGACTGTGATAGCATGGGCTTGTGCAAGGTGAGGGTCATCAGGATGGTGCAAGATAGGGCAAGGTTTCGATTTGGGGTTCACAGGGTCGCTGGGAGTCACAGTGGACTCTATAGCACCTAACGGCGACATCTGTAAAAGTAAAGACACTCAACTTACTGAGAGAAAGACTGCAGATCTGAATTCATACGGAGATATTTTGGAAGCAAGGCACACCGAACATACTTTAAAAACCCCAGGAAACACTATTCTACTCTGACACACAAGTTCGTACTCACTCTGGAGTCTGGTTTACGATTAGAACTAGTAAAATTTGATATATTCTCTACCTACCATATAAAAACTCAAGAAAAATCGTGTGTGTTCTCACTTGGGGGTTAGCAACCACCATGTCTGACTTGCCGTCGACAGCTCAAATATGAGAACTCCTGAGGAACACAATTCAAAAATCACCCCAAAGAGTTCTAAAGTTCCTTTCAACTTACACAGCCAATAACTGTGGTAGCTACACTTTTAATTCTGCAGAACATTATTTATTATAAATAACTAAGACCTATTATCTGTTTTCTTTTCAAGTAATGATAGTCTTCCTAATAAGTATGATGAACTATTTTGCTTTATAAAATATATTAAGGGAGTTCTGGTGGCCGAGTGGCAAGAAGCTGCGTTGCAATCCGGAAGGCATGCAGTTCTAATCCACCAGCTCCTCTGCAGGAGGATAGGCAATCTCCTCCCACGCAATTAACTACCTCTGAAAACCTACTGGAGGGTCAGCTCTAAGTCTGTTTGGACTTGATCGTACAGAACAACAGCAGCAAAATATATAAAGTTAAGATATGACAGATTAAATAGGAGAGGGGATAATATCCATCCAAAACTTCTCTATACACAAATAAGGAATCCTAAAGAATCATACTCATACAGCAAGAATTATATATATATATATAAACAAACCCCAAACAAACCCAATACAAACCAAGTCACATATTGTCTAAAAATGTAGGTAAAAAACCTAAAGCAATAGGTGTTTATGCAGATGAACATACACATAAAGCTCTAGGATTCACAGCTGATTGTTTTAATAAGCAGGTCTCAAATACCAGCCATACAATTGTTTGTTCTCATATCTGTTGCAAAAATACATACTACATTTGCCAATATGACTTGTTTTTTAAAGACTCTAAATAAAACCGGAATTATTACTAATTATTGCAATGGCATATTGCACAAGAAACTGAGAAAGATCTCAAAGATGAGAGTTCGAACTCATTTATATAGTTTAGGAAGCTGAGGCATGGAGTCGTTAAGGCTATACCCCTCCACCACAGATAAAACCACAAGCACAGCCATGTACACTCGCGTGCGCGCGCGCACTGTCTCTCTCTCTCTCTCTCTCTCCCTTCTCCCTCCCATAAAAATGCAAACGGTTTTAATTTTCATGACTCCAGCCTCCAGAATTCCAACATTCTGTCCTTCCATGTTGACAGCCTGGTGAGCAGCTTGATAACAGTGCCACAGAGAATGCAAAGTACATATATTCTAACAGGCTGAGCAAAAGAGGTTTCACTGTACCAGCCATGAGATGGTGACAAGCTGGGGGCCTTGTTACCCCGGGACTGTAAGAAAGAACTCACCCCAAGCAGGGATGTCTGTCACATCTGACTCACACAAATGGGTTTCTCTTTAGCAGGGCAGATAGAGATTTCTTAAATGTTTGCTCTAAATTTTCAATTAAATTACCGATTCTTTCACCTTTCTTATGAGTAAGAAAGCATACTGCAGATGGGAAGGGGATAATCACAATGAAAAAAGGCGGATGTGCAACAATGAATGAATGGAAATCCAAAATTTAAAAAAAGACCATGGCCTAAATCAGGCTTAAAAAAAGGCAGACGACCAGGGAGGTGAAGAGGAAGGAAAAGTCAGCAAGGTGCTGCTGATTGCTATGGGTTTGAGGGCAAAGGCTGACTTGGCATATACTTACTATTAACTGTTTGGGAGTTCAATCTGCCAGGGAAAAGCTATGTAAAGTGCCTGAGAAACTTGAAAATTAAAAATGCTATATTTAGATAATGTGTGATAGGGCCCAGTGGGTAAATAGTTGCACTGCCAACTCAAAGGCAAGTGGTTCAAATCCACCAGCTGCTCTGTGAGAGAGACTGAAAACCTTCCATGTGATTTACAACCTCTGGAAAACCTACTGGAGCATCAGCTATGAATTGGTCTAACAACAGTGTATCAATCACAACAATAATGTGTAAAGGGAACCCTTGTGGCACAGTGGTGAAGCACTTAGTTACTAAGTGGAAAAGGTCTGAGGTCCTAACCCACCAGCCTTCCCAGCCATGGGAGAACGCTGTGGCTGTCTGCTCCTACAAATGAGTCTCGGCCACTCAGCAGAGCAATTCTGCTCTCCAGGGTTGCTGCCAAGTCAGAATCAACTTGGTACCCATGGTTGGGTTTTTGATAAAGTGTGTATAAGCATAAGTTAATAACACAAATATTTGTCGTGATTGAGTCAATTCTGAACCACAGATATTATGCAGAACAGAGACTGTAAATCTTTACAGCTGCAGATTATCACATTTTTCTCCTGTGGACAGGCTGGTGAATTTGAACACAGAGCAGCTGAGGGCTTCAACACTACATCATCAGAGTTCCTACAAAATGCTGCCTTGTGATGAGGTGAGGTGGCATAGTGTTTATGTGTTGGAGTCCAACTGAAAAGTCAGTGATTTTGAAACCTCTACCTATTACACAGAAGTAAGAGAAAAAAACCGAAACCTAAACAAAAAACCATGAAGAAGTCTACATCAAGTTTTATAGTCTCTGAAATCTGAGGGTTGTCACGAGTTGGAATTACTGAATCACATTGAGGGCAGTGGGGCTTTTGGGGGGGGGCAGAGGTACTTTCTGAACTTTATGGAACTTTGCTAAACATTTATGTACCAATTTATTCTTGGTTAAAAAACCCTGCCACCACCCTGCAAGCTTACTATTCTATTTTATGCATAAAGAAACATCCTCAAACAAGCAGTGATATGTTCAAAGTTTACATTAGTAAATAGCAGAGTTAGGACTAAGCTCAGCATATTTAATTAAAAGGTCCACACTGTTTCCTTCAATATGTTGTCCATCATGCCATAATGTATGTCATGAGGGGAAAAGTGCAATCTTATGGTGTCTGTTTGCTTTGGGTTTAAATAATAAACACAACCCTGATAAATTCATCATTCAGATTAAGGTGGTTTTTTTTGTCATTCTGTGAGCTCTAGATAAAACCAGCACTGCTAAACCAATCATTCTTAAGAGCTCTGCTCCTGGATCAGAATGTTACAGTGGTCACTTGAGCATTTGTAGGGCTTGTCTTAATATAGGAGGGCCAAAAATTCCCCTAATCCATCAGCGAGTCAACTTGTTTAGGAGAGCTGAAAATACTAAGTGGACAGATGTATTTACCCAATTATTTCAGCTGAACAGATCCAGCCTTAGTTTCCAGCACATCAAAATAACTCCATTTTTTCTTTAGAACAAGTGTCTATGGGCACTGTTTTAAGTCAAGTGTGATAACAACCTGTTTCTGAAAGTTGGTAAAAAAGATGCTAGATGTCCCACTAGTTGCTGGGATTCTAAGGCCATGCTTTGGCCTCACCACTGTGCAAGCCGGCCTCATTCTTGTCTGTCCTGTGTGGTCAGCCTGACCTCATTCATTCCACACTTACCCCTCACATTCATACTTCAATGACCTTAGGTCAATGGTTAAATCTTCTTTAACACAGTTGGATTTCCCCCTCCTACATCCTGTCCTTTTCTTATAACTACTGATGCCACCCACCACCAGCCTTTCCCATCGCATGAGAGCCTGGCACCAGGAATCTTTGACATTGTAACAGATGGAGGATGAGGAGAGGGTACACAGAAATTCCCAAACCGGCTCTTCAAAGTTATTTAATCCAATTTGAAGGTGAGAGACTTTCTTAATGGTCCATCATAAAAAAATGAAACAAAACTATAAAAAAATCAGAAAACTGAAAAACCAGTTGTCACTGAGCTGATTCTGACTCATGGTGACCCAGTGGAGTGAAGAACTGCAACAGGATGTTCAAAGCCGGGGCCTTCTGGAAGCAGGTAGCGAGGCTCGTCTAAATAACTAAGGTGGATCTGAACCACCAACCTTTCTGCTAGCAGTCAAGGGTCTAACCTTTTATGCCAACGAGTAACATCTCATATAATTCATTTACTCTTTTCAATTTCCCCAAGAAGAGACTTCTGGAATTATGCGAATCTTACTTATCAAGCAGTCAAATTTAAGAGGTTAAATTATTTGTCTAAGACAAGAGTCAAGACAATGTTTCACATTCTATTTGGTGAGTAATAGGAGCTCTGGTGGCCTAATGGCAAACTGTGCTACAATCCCAAAGGCAAGCAGTTCGAATCTGCCAGCTGCAATTCTGGAGAAGGATAGACAATCTTTCTGTGTGATTAACGGCCTCTGAAAACCTGCTGGAGGGCCAGCTATGGGTTAGTTCTGATTCTATGGTACATAATATTAACAACAGGGTCTTAAAAAGTTGTAAGCAGCTATCTAAGGTGTAACTGTTGGTCCCTTACTGTCCAAAGCAAAAATAGGGAATAAAAAGACAAATAGTGGGTATAGTACTGTTACAAGGTGGGGACTGTAATCTACAGCATAAAACAAAAGGACAAGTGGTTGGATGGAAAACCAATCTAAAGTAAATTTTCACTTAAATGTAAATGAAAAGTTTTTTAAAAAGACCTGGGACTGACTTGAGAGGAAGTGCTCTTCCATTCTTCAATAAAAATAATCAGAGTGCGAAGATCAATTCCCCTTTTGTGCTTACAAGCCTAGACTCTTCTGCCAAATTGTGACTATTAAAGACCTGAAGGTGTGTGACTATTTTATTCTACAATGGAAGACCCAGGGGCTATCTTTCTAACCACAGAACTGTACTGTATACTCTATCAGAAAGTTTTAGGTTTTTTTCTGTCCCATTAGGACAAGAATATTTTAAATGAAACATTTTACAATGTACACATTTGAATTTAAACCAATACTGTAATTTTTTATTAAGTTACCACATCTTTTCCCACAGGACCTGATGGGTTTGAACCACCAAACTTTGGATTAGCAGTCAGTCTGTACTACAGAGGGAGCTCTGGGAGGCCTACTGTCAAGAAGCTGCACTGCAATCCCAGAGGTATACAGTTCAAATCCACCAGATGCTCTGCTGGAGAAGGAGGGGCAATCTCCTCCTGTACCAGTTAGATCTGATTTGACGGTACATACACACACACTAAAAATAATTAAATGCTGTACTACCAAGGCTCTTTACATGTAAAACATTATCACTCAAAAACTCACTGCCACAGAGTTGTAAACAATGCATAGCTGACCCTCTATGGGGTTTCTGAGGCTGAAATTACATGGGAGGAGATGGAGGGCTGTTGTGGCCCGATAGAGGGCTGATATGACTCAATGCAGGGCCATTATGTCCCGATGGAGGGCTGTAATGAACTCAATGAAGGGCTGTTATTCTTGGAGGGTTGAAATGTACTGATTGAGAGGGCTGCCCTTCATCAGGTTGCTAACAGCCCTCTATTGGATCTTAACAGCCCTCCATCGGCACCAGATGAAGGGCTGTAATGACCCGATGGAGGGCTGTTATGGACCCAAGGGAGAGCTGTTGTAGCCCCAAAGGAGGGATGTTCTGACCCAGTGGGGGGCTGCTAAGAACCAGAACCGACTCGACGGCAGTGGGCTTTGGTTTTATACACAGTGAAAGGCTTTATATGCAGTGGATGGTTTATAAACAGTGGAAGGATACACCACAAACTCAGATCATAGCCTTTTTCCCAATTGTTAAAGAATTTTTTATCCTCAGGTTATTTTATTTTACAGTGGTCTACTCAACAGCTGTGCTGTCAACCCAATGGCCGGCAGTTCAAATCCACCAGCGGTAATGAGGGAGCAAGATGGGAAATCTCCTTCCATGTGATTTATAGCCTCTGAAAGCTGCTGGAAGGTCAGTTATGAGTTGGTTCTGACTTGATGGCACTAAGCAACAAACAACAACAACAACAACAACAATAATAAACTGGAGTCCTCCAATGACACAAATGGTTGAGGCCTGCCTTAAATGCTGGGGGTAAGAGTCCATTCAGAGGTGCCTCAGAAGGAAGGCCTGGTGTTTTACTCCAGAAGTCATACTCGAGACAACCCCATGGTACATGTTCTAGTCTGAGACACACGGATTCAACTCCCTGGCAAATTGATATGAATGTGGGAGTGTGAGTCTGGGCAACTTCTATAGGGAGCACAAGTAAAGCATCTCTGCCCCTCCACTCTGAATATTTGAGGTGAACCCTTGGATT